GGAGGGGCGCCCCTAAAGTGAGACGGTGGCGGGCCCTCGGTAACCCTGGTAACGCACCCAGCTGCTGAACCTCTCCCGGTTCTTAAAATTGTCTTAAGCCGTTCCCTGCGGAGTAATTTTAAAAATTACTCTGTGCAAAAGCCAGGGAACATCCAAAGGAAACCCACAGCGGGCTAACGTCACCGGGGCAGCTGCTTCCCTAGTGCGAGATTGCCGCGGGGATAGTAGGCGATGCCAGGTTTCTGTACATAGCAAGGCTGGAGAGCTCCAGTGGAACGTTTGACTTCTGCCAGAGGAGTGGAGATTGGCATAGACTACTGCTTGTTTTTCCCTAAATGTTTTTGTAAGTATATCTTTATTGAGAGAGAGGAAAGGAGAGGGAGAGAGAGAAACATCAGTCGGCTGCCTCCTGCACGCCCCTTACAGGGGATGGAGCCGGCAGCCCAGGCCTGTGCCCTGACCTGCATGGAACCACGATCTCCTGGATCCTAGGTCATGCTCAACTGCTGAGCCACGCCTGTCCGGACAATGTTCCTTTTTAAAAAAAAGTTTCCATAGGGTTAACTTCTGTCAGAGATAGATCAGCAGCATTGACTTTCTGAGTCACCTTCTTTGGGGTGACTCAGGTCACTGTCTGACAGGCTGTTCCAGCTCCCCTAATACCGCACAGTGCTCACCATCCTTTCTTTTGCATTCAGGTGACTCTGGTCTCTGCGTCTCCTGGGAAGGTGACCTGTGAGCTGAAAGTAGAGGAGGAGCACGCCAATAAGATGGGCACGCTCCACGGGGGACTGACAGCCACCCTGGTGGACAACATATCGACCATGGCTCTGCTCTGCACGGAAAGGGCCCTGCCAGGTGTCAGTGTGGACATGAACATAACGTAGGTAGCCATGCTGTGCCCAGATTTGAGTGCCACTCGAGATTTGCCCTGCAGTATTCCCAGGCCTTGACTCTAGAAGTAGAGGAACTAATTTCCAGGTACAGTGTGTACCAGCAGTAAAGGGAGTGACCTAAACATTTGAAAAAGAAAACATTCTGCGTCTAACACGGGTGCTGGTGGGGAAAACAGCACAGCAGATGCATGGCTTGTAACTGTTTCAGAGTCCTGACAACTGTTCAGGACGTGTACAAGCTGAACAAAATTCAAAAAGGTGGAGAAACCTCCGGGTAGACATAGTTCTCTCCTTGTACCAAGGTGACCACAGATGGTATGTCTCCCTGAGGCACAGATCGGCTCTGCTGGTTTAACTGCCTGGTGTAGCAGCACCACCCCGAGGGCAGGCTACCGCTCACTGGTGACAGTGCCTGCAGAGGTCACGTTCCTAGTGTACACCACTCAGCTCCAGCGCTAACTAGCACTGTTGTCCAGTCCTGTCCTATGGAAGCACAAGGCCCAGGGGTTGAGTTTCCAGCAATTGCTTTTGCCGCCTAACCAACAGAAAAGGGTTTTTCTCTGGGGGACTAGCAAGGGTTAGTGTGGGAAAGCCATGTTATTGATATGAGGGCGACGGAAATGCAGTTATTAGGTTTTTAAGCAATATGAGTCATTTATCAGGCTAACTTAAGAAGCAGTCAGTTCCTCTTTACTATGGAAATAATGTATATTGAGGGTGCAGTAAACAAATCACAGGAGATGCAGATGCTCTTTTGAGATTAAGATTACAGCAAGAGGACCGTTTGCCTGTGGTGCCAGGAGCACAGTCAGCAGTCCTTACCTTACTCCCTGCCATAAGCAGGAGCACCGGCTGATGGCTCTTCTTTGCCTTCGTCTATTTGGAACAGAGGTCTTCAAGCCTAGCTCTGTTTGGCACAATATTCTAAGATACTGCTGCTTTCACAACCCTGAAGAATTTTTAGTCAGTCAGTTTTGGCCTTTCAAAGTATGTGCTGACAAAAGTATTGGCCTGAGCTTCAAACAGTGATTCCCTTGAACAGAAAATAGGACATAGTCCAAAAGATGTATTATAGATACTTCAAAAGTAAGTGAATGACAACTCAGGAATACAGGTGGGTAGGAAGTGTCTCTCTTAAAAATTTGTACAAACAGTTCATCACCAGGATTGTAAGGACCTCGTATTAATTCCTTACATAGTCACTTTAGAGTTGAGTAAATTCTAAACATTGATATGACAAGATATACTTCACCTAGGAAGTTCCACAGATTAAATGAAAGCTAGAGGAAATCTCCCACCACCTCCAAGTAAATTTGAAGTGGGAAACTGCAAAAAGGCAGGTGGGGGCAAAAATCCCTTCCTATACTTATGGGAAAAGAAACTAGTGTGGTTAAGGACCAGCCATTCAAATTTGAAAGGACAGGAAGCTCAGACATCGTTACTTATTTTACTCCTAGAGTTTCCTGCGACCCATACTACTTTCCCTTTAAAAATGGCTATTAACTGTATGTCAACTTACTTCCTTTCAAGGTACATGTCACCTGTGAAAATTGGCGAAGTTGTAGTAATAACAGCGCACATTCTGAAGGAAGGCCGGACACTGGCCTTTGCCTCCGTGGATCTGACCAACAAGGCCACTGGGAAGCTGGTGGCTCAGGGTAGACACACAAAGCACTTGGGGAACTGAGGATAGCACGCGGACTCAACCAACCCAGCGAGGGGATTGAATGTAAACATGATTTAAATTTACCTTCCCAATAAATTAGCACAACCAGGAGCCAAGGAATACTTTCTTTAGGGAATAGAGAGAGCACAGAGATCAAGTGGGATATCGGGTGGGTAGGGGCGTCTTTCTCATTTTAGGCCTCTTCAGGTTTAGTTTTTAACCATATGTGTGATAGTGGGCTGAAAAAATTTTTAGCTCAGTGTTTTGAAAACTTAGGCAAAGAAACTAGCAGGGCCACTCTGAGATAGGATTACCTTAAAACTGAATTTCTAACAAGCTAAAAGAGAACTGTAAACTAATGGTTAATCCTTAGTGAATTTTAGGGTCTTCTCAGCTCTAAAGTGCCATCCACATTTTTTTTAAACCCAATCTCAAGATTATGGGACTTAAAAAAAAACACAAAAAAACCCACCCACCACACGATTATGGAACTTCCAAATAGATGGACCATAGCCCATATTGGACGACAGATTTAGCCATATGGCTGAAAGTAGTCTGCAGGAAAGCTGGAGGCAGCCCTGGCTGGCATTCTCAGTGGTTAGAGCATCTCCATGTGCACTGAAGGGCCCTGGGTTCGATTCCCAGTCAAGGGTATGTACCGGGGTTGCGGGTTCACTCCGTGCTGGAGGCAACCAGTCGGTGTGTCCCACATCAATGTTCCTCTCCCCCTCCCTCCCTTTCACCCTGAAAAGCAGTGAAGAAATATCCTCCCTCAGGTGAGGGTTAACAATCAAAAAAAACTGGAGGGAAAGCACAAGGGTGCACCTTTCCTGGACATGTTATGGGACTGGCCTATTTCCTGTTAGGGGAGAGGGCACACTATTACCCGCTTCTCTAGTGCCTAGAATAAAACCGTGCAGATCTTGACTCCCAGACCACAGTGTCAAAGACCAAGCTCACCAATAGTTTAGTCCAGTTCTCGGTCCTGCTGCCTGGGGCATTAATATTAGACTCCTAGCTCAGGGAGTTGGTGAACACTGTGACTGAGAAGAAAGCAACTCTTAAGTGCAAGGCGGGCGCTCTGCTTGTCGGCAGGCAAGCTGCCATCTGCTGAAGGGACACACTGCATGGCAGCCTAGAGCGCAGGGGGCCCATCATGATTCCTTATCCCACTAGCAAGAACCTGAGCTCCAGAGAAGCAGCTGACCCTAGGGCTGGGAAGTCACAAGATGAACTTACCTCGCACCTTAAGGGGAGTGCTCAAGAAAACGAGAGGTGTGCCATGTGGCGGTGAGCCCATGCTGTTAGGTAGGTTACCAATAAACAGCAGGCAGGAAGGTTCCTCCTTGCAACAGAGGCTGACTTACATGGAGGGAGCAGTAGATACGGAAATTGCCATCAGGCAGCCATCAAGATCAAGACTGTTGTGGGAAAAGGCAAAAAGCATCCACACCCTCCTGATGAAGGGCAGGATGTTTGTGTGCAGTTCCCCAGGTTGCCTAATGGCAAGTGGAGAAATGGTATCTGCAATGTGATGAGAAACAGGACACCACCTTGACCTGTCACAACTAATGCTGGGCACTGGCCAGAATGCATAGTCCACATCTCACCAGGAAGAAACATCACCCAAATTAAGATGAGAAACTGTATTTTAAAAATTGGCCTGTACTCTTCAGAAATGCCGAGGTCAGTCCCAGATGAAAGCAGACCAAGGAGCCCGACAGCTCAGTGCAATGACCACGCACTGCACAGGGCTAAACACACCACCAAGGGTACTGTTGGGAGGACGAGCCAACGTGGACACAGATGGTAGGTTCAAGTGTGTTACTGGCACATCTCCTGAGTTCCATAACTTCACTGCGGGGCATATGCCTAAAGCATTACGGGGGTAAGGAATCAATGCACACATGAGGTGCCACCACACTCAAAGATTCAAATGCACATAAATGAAGAAAGACAACAAAAAAGTATGGCAAGTGTTAAAGACTAAATGTGGGTTAAAAGGAACATAGGAGCTTGCTGTATTTCCCTCTTCAAAATTTATTCTAAAATAAAAACATAAAACCAATGGCTGCTGAAATGCTAAACTTGGTGAATATTAACTAACAAGTGTAATTCAACAGAGTGAGACAGTTGAGAGCCGGGCTCTATGGAGCCAGGCAGCTGGTTAAACTTCCCCTACTCGCCCCAGGTTAACCCCGGGCAAGCATCCCTTTCCCACGCAAGGTTAATGTAGGGCGAGAGCTTACACCAGTGTTACTTCAAATCGACTAATTAGGAAACGTATGAAACCATTTTGGAATTATTACTATTTTTCTTTTCCATGAAACAAGGCCAGGCTGGTAACTGTTAAAAGCTGACAAAATGTCCTTGATTGCTATCCTGGTTGAAATTACAAACCCAATGGCCAGTTTTTTCTTCTGAATTGACTGTTTAGCCATGAACTATAACCCCCTAAGGTAATCAGTAACACCTACCCAGAGCTTAGGAAAAAAACTTACAACTTCAAGTTTTGTGCATTCACCTGAACAGTCAGGGAACTTTCACCTATTTTATTCAGGTTTTCATTTTTCAAATTCCAACCAGAAGCTAAATACAACTGGAAACCAGTAAGCACTAAGTTTTATTCCAAAGGAGTAGGATCATTCAGATTTACTCCAATAAAGTATGCAACCCTCAAGCAAAGCTCTTCTTCATTTAAAAGAAAAAACAAACAAAAAAACCCCTATACAGTAGTCTTTCCTTATGTTCATTGCACAAAATGAATTCTGCTTTTATAACTTTGACACTCAATGGTGGTTTTTACAATTTAAGATTTCAACTTTAGTAACTTTTTCTACTCCAAAAAAACACCCTTAAGATTTTCTTAAGGATGGTGTAGAAACCAGTATTTCTGCACAATTCACTGGAACTTTTTTCTTTGTAATAGAAATCTCTCTTTAAAACCAAAAAACAAAACCAAAACCAAAAGGAAAGTCCTCTGCCTATCCTGGTTTCCGCAGCTATGAACGTATCTCTGTTTGATAGCTGCTTTAGCCACTTGAGACTCCAGATCTGCTTTACTGTGTCTGTGTCCACACAGAAAACTTTGTAACAGCAGCCTGGGAAAGCGATCTGGAAATAAAACACACGTACTTGTGAGTACCAGGAAACAAACATGGCCCAGTAAAATATGAGGCACGAATGCCTACAATGAGATGCTTTTTTCATTTAAGATTTCTTTCCCGTGGTTGTATTTTTTTGAACAACCACTTCTGGTCATTGGAATGAATCTGATAGTGCTCAGGAACAACGGTGATTATAGCAAAGCTATCAAGTTTTTAAAATGTTACTTATACCTCTTACATTCACTTCTCACCCTCTAAATACTGATGACAGATGTCAGAGGCAAAAGCCAGCACAAATGGAAGACCATCAACCACGAGTGTCACCTGGTGCTTTCAGATACACCAAGCATTTCAGTGTACACAGTCCTTTCACTTCACATTTTTAAGATGCTGACGCAGTGCAGCAAAGATGCAAAGCATCTTCTTTCACACAGTCTGTGCAGGAGACATCTAATTTGTTAAAGTTCTGAGATACAAATGATTAAAAAAAAAAAAATCCAGGATGAACAAGTTTCAAAATGCATAGTGTTCTGTGCATGAGTCCATTTTCTTTAAACTCTGAAAGAATAAAGTGGTAAGAAAACAAGAAAAAATTGCCGCTGCACTCTGACCGTCTCCACTTGCTGTCAGCATTCTACTCGGGCAAGTAAGGGTGCAGGTGATCCTCTATGGTGCCAACTGCCCAGTGGGTAAGCTGCTCCTGTGGCAGGTAGAGGCAGATGCTGCATAACTTGAAGATTGTAGCTTTGTTTTTTGGAGTCTGGAGGGGGAAAAAGTTTTAATATTCTTAATAAGTAAGCCTTTAACACAAGTGATCGATGGCCACATGAAATCAATCTCCCACAACTTATTAAGCATATATGGACACAGTGACAAAGCACAGAGAATGTATGCAGAATAAAAGATAAGTCGAAAGTTCACCTTCTCATTGTAGCACCTCTAAAAACGGCCAAAGAAAAAATTGGTGGCCTCTGCAATGTCTGCAGTCTGTGTATGTAGATGAGGTGGTCACATTTAAAATGAAGAAACCCATGTGCCAAGCCCTGGCCGGTAGTTCAGTTGGTTAGAGTGTTGTACTGTTACACCAAGGTTGTGGGTTCAATCCCCAGTCAGGGCACATACAAGAATCAACCAATGAATGCATCAATAAGTGGAGCAACAAATGGATGTTTCTATTTCTCTCCCTTCCTCTCTGGAAAATCAAATTAAAAAAAACAAAAAACATGCGCCCCAGCCAGTTCTAATATGCAAAACTGGTCTGGGGACCACTGTATGAGGGTGAGGCCCAGGTCTGCATAGCAGTGTCAAAGGGGCAAAACAAAATCAAGTAACTTGCACAGAACAGTTTGATAATCAAAAATAAAGCATTAAAACAGCCCCCACCTGGTCCCTGCCCACCTGCAAGTGCTGTCTGTCAATGAAGAGAAACAGGGACTCGTTTGGATTGTTGACAACAATTCCGGTCTTGTCCTTGCGACTCAGCACATGCAGAAACTGTTTTTCATAGTCACCGTGATGAAACTCAAATTTAGCCTATTTAAAAAACACAAACATGTACGTGACCGCAGATATGCTACACGATGTGAAACACGCATACAGTTATGCTCTCATATGCACTAGTAGATATGGCTACCTAATTAAAATGTAATTTAAAATTCAGTTCTTCAGGAACACTGGCCACATTTCAAATGCTCAATCACCACCTACAGCTAGTGGCCACCCTCAGGAACAGTCCTTTGAGATACAGGACATTCTCTTCACAGAAAATTCTATCACCAGGAAGGTTACGTATACTACTATTTTAGGAGCATGTATGGTACAGGGGAAGAGGTCTTGCCAACTTTATCCATGCCCCCCCCCCCCATCAACAAATGCTGACCTTAAGAGATTTCCTCTGGCCACAATCTCAAACACTGGGAAGCCAAGAGCCACCTCATTCTCAAGAGACTCTACAATCCAAATGCTTTCTCCTCTTGCATTACAACACTCAAAGGACAAAAGGGACTCGAGATGCATTAGAAACATACCCCCAAGAATTTCTTTCAGACCCTATTCCAGTTTTCATTCATTTAGGTGCTCACCACCTCATTTTAGAATAAAATACCTGAACAGGCCTAAAAGGCTCATCAGATTCCTTCCACCTAGAAAATAGGAGACAGACAATTTTTTCAATGTCATTCCGAGGCCAAAGAATGAAATCCATCTCCTGAGTACAGCCAATCACGTCCTATAAAATAACAAAGAAAAAAAGGAGAAAATTACTTTCCTAGAGACAGAGCTATAAGGAGGAAAGTCACAAATTACATGGCTTGACTACAGAAGCAATGCCCAGCGCGAAAGGCCCATATATATCGTTTTACACGAGGAAACAGGAACAGGACCATATGCAACTGGGGAGTCTAATTCTTATCTTGTCCAGTCCATAGTCACTCAACCTTGTTCCTCCATCAAGACCTAAATTCACCAGTGCATGGTGAAGACTCCAACTACAGCTCTGATTGTTTTTTTTAAGTCCCTGAACCTTTAGTTCCATTCTTCAAAATCAGAACTATTTAAGCAAAGGTATTCTGAAACTTCTAATATGAATCACTACCTTCTTAATACAACTGAAATGCTACCGTTGTTATATGCTGATGTTCCTCTTATCACAGTTCAGCATATTAATTTCCAGAGGCCAATAAACCTCTTCCAGGCCAGTAGTGCATGGTTTTCTCCAGTCTCCACCCTGACCCTACCACTAATGG